TTCACGTGGGGGCAAAAATAATTATTGAGAATCTCTACACATTTTCATAATCTTATTTAAATTTAATATATGCTATAAAACTGTTCTATCATTTTTACCACCATTTTTCATTTAACTCATTTTAAGCAAACATTTTTTTATTTACCTATACTATAAGTTTTATACCAAACAATAATAAAATTACTACTTTCTTTTTAAACCATAATTAATATTCATAATTATATAAAAATTAAAAAGAAACTTTGTAGAAAACCACTTGTTTTAAGTTTTTATATTTTTTTCGTGTGTTTCTGTCGTCACGGTTTCGGACAGTATAAGTCCTACTTGAGTAGGTACTACATCTATAATTAGTATTTAAATAAAATATAAAAGTGTATGTGTTTTAAATTTACAAGCACTTATTATTTGTTGTTATTGTACAATATTATTATATTAAAATATATTCCTATAAATATAATATAATACATTACATTATGTTTATGTTACGGTCAGAGTGTATAATTGGGAGTTGTAGTACAATGCCCGGACAATGTATACAATGCCAAATTTCAATGGACAATGTGGACAATTATACACTTTGCCCAGGCATTGCACAGAATGACCAGAGCACAGTGGATGGGCAATTACAATGGAATAAAACCATTTTTGTTATCTTAATAATTTACAATAATTTTTTTTATAATTATTAACTATTTTTTTAATTTTATTTTTGCAACTTAAGTTATCATGCACGGAAAAAATTAAGTAGTTGATGACATTTAGAAGTACATAGTTTACCTGCAGCCTTATACTTACATTTATTTGTCTTGAATTGATGTTTACAGTAGTTACACCAGTCATATCGTTGACCGCCATGATTTGAACATTTTCTATAGGCATTTTGAACGTTTGTGTGTTAATGGTTTAAGTGGTCACTTCTAATATTATTAACTATAATCAATTATTATCCGGTTTCCCAGTACTTGCCAAGTACAACAACAATTAAAATATTTGCAATTAAGATGTGTGAAATTGTTCCAACTACTATATTTGTTAAGTACCTATATACCTTAAGTTATTACTATGTATGGCAGTATTTTGGCTTGTGACATATCCACCGACGCTCATCGGGAAGGTCATTACTCATCAGTGACCAATTATTATTGAACAAAATATTAAAAAAACCGTTAAGACGGCATAGAAAGAAATAAAGAAGAAAAAACCACCAATCGTCAGTAGGTACCAAAAATTGGCCAACTACACCTGCAGTTGTGAGAAAATGGTGACTGATAGCAAGAGTTTTGGGTCGTATTAAATATTTAAATGTACTGAAGTCCGTTTTTTTTTTTTTTAAATTTTTTTAAGATATATACAATCTGTACCCGTTAGGTTAACGCTAACCTAACCTAACCTAACCTTAAGTCCGTGATAACTAAATATTGATAAGTCGTAAAATTTGATGGGTATACGTTGATTATTACTTTATTTGTATGTGTACGGTACTACGATGTATTCAGCTACGCGTTAAATATGAATTAATGTCAACGCCGTGACATCATGAAAGTTTAAAAAAAATAATAATCATGATATCGATAATGATAACCATTGATACGGTTCTGTCCATTTTTATTTACTTATGAAACCGGCCCACTGGAATTCCCTTATTTAAGCCCTATAATGCAGAGGATAACGGTACACCAACATAATATAACGTACTTATGTGTAATAAGTAATTATTTTATACATACAAATATGTAAAATCTATACCTGTTAAACAATGTTACTTAATGACTAAACAAGAAAAAGAGGGAAAAACCATTTGTGATCACCGAAATGTCTAAGCACTATACACGTGATGCTGATGCGGGCATTCCGGCGCTATCATATTATGCATGACGCACTCGTATTAGATCGGCACACAGTATTCAGTAGTGTCCTGAGTAAATAAATTAAGAATTAATAGAGGGAATATAATAGGAAGGACGAAGGGTTACCGCGGTAAAAAATGCAGTCCAGTTGTGGAAAATAACAAACTGTAATCCAACATTGATACATTTTTATAAAATTTTAATTTTATTCAGTTCAATATTATTGTTTGAATATTATTTTTTTTAAATTTAAAATCAGATTTGTCATCAAACAGTCAATGTGTGAAGCTGCACACAGTCTTTTGAGCGCAGTAAACACATACGACAAATTGTTCGATCACGATTGATATAAAAAAAACACGCTTATACTCTTTTCATCGTTGATTCTTTATTAAAGCTTAATATTTTAGGCTATGCTCGAATTAAAAAGACGAGTGTGATGCGTTGATGTCACTGTTATATATATATATATTATATTCTACAACGATAATTAAGCTATCGATTAAGTAGACGATATGTTATCGGCGATAACCTATATAAAATATGTATATATATAACTATTATAACATCATTATGTGTTCCGCCGTCGTGCGTTAATAAAGCAGTCGTACTTTTTCAATGCGTGTGATATGTGCCCTCGGTCCCCGCAGCAGTAATACTTAACAATCACCTCAAGCGGCCGCTTAAGTGGTCCGGATTAGTCGCGCAGATCTGAGCAATGATGTGGTGGAAGCGAAGAACGACGCTTGTTCTATCGGAAGCACGTACGTGGTACCGATTCTCACACATTTATTTCAATGATATCGTACCACCCATCAACACCATGAGCAACGGCGCTTTATCGTTTGAAATAATTATCACGTTTGCAGAAACCCGCCGTGACCACGTATTGCGGCCACCACCTATATGGTACGGCGAGAGATAATTTCAGACAAAACACAGTCACTCAAATATTTAAAATTTGTAAATAAACTATGAAGACAAACCGATAAAAGTATATTAGAATAACATTCAATCACTCAATAATGTGGAAAGGTTCTTGTTTTGCTAAATTAAAGTAAGCATACTCATACATGTATGCATACAGATCAGTCACAAGCTTACACCCATGACAACCGAATCAAGGTAGGGCCGTTGTCTAATATAAAGTGATAGTCACCCGAACGACAACGTCAGTTCCACGGGAAGACCGTACAGGTACCTTTATAATAATTATATTCTCATAAGTTTATTTCCATGGATTTGTACAAACCTTAGATCATATACTATATATACTATATATAGATCTAAGGTACAAACATTCATCTAAGAGCAACGACACCCACAGCTAGATTACCAACTGCATGAGAAGACAAACACAATTTAGAAGGTCAAAACACAATGATTTGAACTTAATTCCAAACATTGAAATGAATAATTTTACGATTTTTATGTATCACAGAATACTTCGACGTTCGTACGAAAATATAAAAACGATTTGGATGGTCACAATACAATCTTAGATTGCTGCTTTAAACTCGAAGAAACAGCAACGAACCTTTCAAAACTATTTTCAATCGTTCTACTATTTAAAATTTATTTAATTGTGATTTTTTTCTGCCAAAATATAGCTTAACGATGCCGTAAGCTATCTGGAACAGATTTGAAGTTCATTCGGAAACACTGGAACCGCAAAATTCAATAAAAAGTAAAATTTATGTTCAAATATCACGCTACAAGTGTCAATATACACCTATATGAAAACAAAATTGAACAAAATTCAGATTTTTTTTGCGTCATCAAACAGTCCGTCGTTCACATAAAAATATAAACGGCTATCTCCCAATATGCGGTCTACCTCCGTTTTGTGTACTAGGTAACTATAAAATATATGAGTACAGTATACGGTCTATCAATGTTATAGTGTTCTACTTATAGCTGGGAATCCATTTATATTTAATAAATTATTTATTATCTACCAATTTATGTTTTATCTTAATTGCTCATAACAATATATATTTTATCATGTAACAATACAGTTCATTCTGATTCCTGGTTTGGATATAAAGGTTTATCTGAAAAATGCTATGTATATGAAACAGTNACACAAAAATGGCGTATAAAACGGTGACGACGCACCGGTTCATGACCGAACAACGAACAATTTGCCTAGACGGCTGGAAAACGACGACGACAGACTGGTAAGGTGCCGGCGGCCAACGGCTAGACCGCGACAGTACCCGTCCCCTCCTCAGAGTACAAAGTTCGGTCGCGCAAAACTTCGGCGGCGGAGTGACAGGGTGACAACCAGTGGCGCAACTAGACACTTGGGGGCCCTAATGTCAAATATAAAATGGGGCCCCTAGCAAAAAATGTAAATAGGCTTAAACAATCAAAGGTACACGGTACACCGCTTCCTCCACACCCATAAGGTTATCAAATTATAAAAACCTTTCCATTGTTAATTATATAAAGCGAGAAATGGATATTTTTGTTACGGATTTGCTCCGAAAATGCATGACCGATTAAGCTGATTATTTTTTTGATGTGTTCGTAATTAATAAAGGTTAATGAAGGAAAAATTAAGGAAAATCCACCGGAAATGTAGAAAATCTGGATCTACAAAACGCTCTACATAATATTGAGAGATACAATAGTAGAGAATATCAACTCTTGATAGTTAATATATTTATATATAGCACATATAATCTAATGCAATTCAGATGTACCAATATAAAATATATATTGAAGTAAAGGTTAGGTATTTTTTTTTTATATAGGTACCTACCTATCATCTTTGCCTACAGTTCTATCATACAATATATTAAAAAATACAAGTTTTGATCTTTATAAAAGGACCTGGATTCTTTCTATTGACCTTGAATTCTATCACCTTGAATAATTTCTAATTTTTCTTTATTTCTACAAAATAAACAATAACACATAAAAAATTAATTAATTAATACATTTTCTAGTTTCATAAAATAAAAAACAATTAATTAACTAGGTGGTACATAATTTAGTAATTTATTGTTTTAGCATAATATATGTAACTTAACTGTTTCATGGCTCTTAAAAATGTAAATACAATTAAAAAAAAAAATTAAGATATAAGTAGGTAGGTACTTGTTAACGTTAACTTAAACATTTAATGTATATAAAAATAATATCATATTTTTGATAATTACTTTAGATACTTTCTTTGATAATTTTATTTTAAAAAGTTGACTTTTCTGGCTTTAGAATTTGCAAATGTATTTATTACATCGTCCAACTTTATTTTTGCAGCAACATCTTTTTCTATATTTAATACTGCAATATTAGACAGACGATCTTGTCCCATGTTATTTCGCAGATAGTTTTTTATTAGTTTTAATTTTGAAAAAGATCTTTCTGCCGATGCTACTGTTACTGGTAAAGTTAAATAAATTATACAAGCACTTAAAACATCAAAGAAAGTTGTACATAAATTATTTTTTATTATATATAAAATAAGCTCTTTAATAGATTTGATTTTTTGTGGAATAAGTTGATCTCTAATACATAATAGTTGTCTGGTAAAGTCTGATGATATATCAGACTGGTATAATTGATAAAAATCCATAGATGCTTTAGCCAATTCATTGTCACTTAATACAATTAATGAAGTTGGAAATAAAAAATCAAAGTTCTCTGTCACCTTTCTTAGCCCTTCAAATCTTAAATTGAGTTGAAATAGTACAATGTCAATTACCGGTAAAATTATTTTAACACGGAAATTTTCATCAGATACACTGAGTCGACGATCTCCATCTACTTCATCAAAATGCCTTATAGCAAATATTTGTCGCTTTACATAAAAGTTTGTTGAAATACCCCATTTGACACATAAGTGTTTGCATTCTGACAAAATAGTTATTTCATAGTTATTTCTTAAATTTTGTATAACTTCTGTAGCATTTTTTAAGTTTTTACAAGCACTATGTAAATTTGTATGTGGGTTCTGAAGTGTCTTTGATACAATGTGTAATGGTCTTAAAATATGCTCCCATAAACATAATAATAATACAAATTCAACAGATTCTAATTTTTTTTTTAAAGATAAACTAGTATTTCTTTCTTCTTTTTTTGTACTAGTCAAAGACATATTGGTTAATGCTTTTAGTACATCAATAAACCTTGACTTCAACGCATGGAGAGATTCGTGCCGTGATTCCCATCGTGTTGGACACAATTTTTTTAAAACTTTAGTTTTTATTTTTTTTGACTGATCATCACCAAAAGCTAAAATTGCCCATCTTGGTGCACTTCCACTAAAAAAATTATAAATAGCTTGTATAGTATCAAAAAACGATGCCACTTTTGGTGAACATTTTGCAGCATCTGATATAACTAAATTTAAGTTGTGCGCACAGCAATGAACATACGACGCATTGGGGACCTTATCCTTTATACGTTTTTGAACTCCACTATATACTCCACTCATGACTGAAGCCCCGTCATAGCCCTGTCCTCTACATTTATTGATGTCTATTTTGAACATTAGTAGGATTTCAGTAATTAATTCTTCATAGTCTTGGGCTCCATGCTTATCAATTTTAAAAAATCCCAAAAATGATTCCTTAATACTAATATCAAGATCTTCATAATTTAGTACTACATACCGTATCACAACACTGACCTGATCTAGTTTTACAATATCTTGAGTGGAATCCATAATTATTGAAAAACATTGTGAATTTCTTATTTCATCACAAATATGGTTTCGAATATTTGTAGCAAGTAATTCAATCACTTCATTTTGTACCTTCCAACTGAAGTATTTTACCTTTTTTTTTTCATCATTTAGAAGTTGATTAAGAATAGGGTCATATTCAGCTAACAAATGTACTGAACGCATAAAGTTACCTAAGAAATAAAAATAAAACATTTTTTATTATAATTATTAGTGGGTAGGTATATTTAATATTATTCAGTTAGTACCTTCACCATCAAAATGTTCTGAATTACATTTTTGTTTGTGTTCGTGGCCTCTTAGTGCTGTGTTGCCAGCAGTAAGAAAAAGAATTATTTTTATTATTCTCTCTAGTACATTTCTCCAAAACAAGGCCTCTTCTGAGTATTGTCGTTCAGATATTTTGTCGATTGTTTCATTTTGTTTCCATAAGGCACGAGTTTTACTTGCTTCAATATGTTGCAATGACTTTTCATGGGTTGTTATTTTATTAGTTAAATTTTGCCAGTCATTTACACCAATAATCCAAGCTTTTTGAAAATATGAATAATGGCGATTAGCAAAGAGCCAACATGTCTCACAATATGCACAATCCAAACCAACTGAATAACATAGCCAAAGTCTTGGCACTTTTACACCAGATTTTAAGGTTTGCTCATAATAATAAGAAGAAAAATGATGAGATGAGCCATCTTCTCTTTTTGTAATAGGAAATACAATATCAGGTCGACATGGTCCATATGACAAGACACACTTCTTAATAGCAATGTTTTGAATATTTTCTTCAAAATAAAATCTATCAGTCGGATATTCATGAAGAATATTGAATCCTAGCAAAGTGCAAAGATGTAAAACAATTTATAAGTTTAAAAACTAAAAATTAATTATAAAGTAATAATAAAAAATACATGATTTATAACATATTACTATTTATTTTACCTAGTGGCTGTAATGCATTTCTAGAAATAGTACCTATCACAGGGTTGCTACTAATTTTTTTCTTAAAAAAAGTGAGAATAGTGAGTATTTTTTTCAATTAAGTGAGTAATATTCTAGTAAAAAGTGAGTATTATTTTCATATTATAGGTGAGTTTTTTTAAACAAAAACATAAAAATTAAAATACAATACCTAGTTTAAAATACTTTCAGTTGTTTTTTACTTTTTCAGTTTATTATAAACAAGTTATAAATTATACTTATAAAACAATTTTGTTTAAATATTAATAATAGTTGGTTCTACCTACAGTACCTAAATTATATAACATAAATAAAATGTAGGTAACCAACAAATATAACAACTGTAGAAAGTAGAAACTGATATTATAGTATTATGTATATTAATTTTTTGAATGATATTATAATATAGTATAATATATATAATATAATATACGTATTTGTAATTAAATATTAATAATGTGGTAATTATAGATACTAATTAGTGTTTAAAAAATATTTGTTCAACCATTTTCATGAGGTTATGAGTAATATTGTAGTCTGGGGATTTTTTTCCGGGGATTTTTATTCCGCAATTCATTTTTTTTTATTTTTTAAAATAGTCTTAAAAGATAAATAATTATAAAAATTTTGAATATTTAATTTAAACACTTATTTACATTAACAGATCTTTAAAAAAGTGAAAAAAGTGAGGAATCAATGAAATAAGTGCGAAGAAGTGAGCACACTCAAATAAAGTGAGAATAGTGAGAAATAATGAGTGCGTAGCAACCCTGCTATCACTATTGGTTTTATTACAAATAGATCCATTTGATACATTCAAGGTAGTATCAGCATCAATAATAGGGCTTTTACTCACAGTGAAAATTAAAAATGAGATACCTATTAATTGATGATTAACATAATTAAAACAACATACCTAATCCAACCACAATTAGGTATAGGTATTATTCATTTATCTTTAATAGACTGATATAAACTCCATAAGAAACAAATGAAAATAACAAAAAAGAAGAAATACCTGGTTGTTCTGATATGTTAAATTCATCATTAACATCATCATCTTCTCTAGGTAAACTAAAACCAGCACCATTATTACTACTACTTTGGAGAACAGGAGTTTCTATAGAAATGTATAATATATTTTATATTAATTTATTATTATATAATTAAGAGGCTGTCAGTGCTCTATTTGTTTTCTCTCTCTGGCTCACACGCAACATAGACAAACTGCATTTACGCAAAATCATTTTTTCTATGTTTTCAAGTAATCTTAGAGTAGTCAGCCATGAAAAAAAAGATAGAGAATATATTTTCGAGGGAATGACATCGATTTGTCTAAATATTGTCTTAAAACAATTTAAACATAATTTAAATTTACAAAAGGTTTTTGTTTATTTTGAAAGACGAATACAAAGTCAAATAATAATAAAATATAAAATCGATATATCATTGCCTCAGAAATATTATCTTTTTTGTAATAGGTTACTTTACTCTTAGATTACTTAAACGTAGGTATAGAAAAAAATGATTTAGTGTAAATACGTTTTGTCTATGTTGCACGCACGTCGGCCAGAGAGAGAAAATTATTTAAATTATTTAATTTGTATAGTGCGCTGACATCTTAATAAACACAAAAATAAAAAATGGATAAACGGACTTACCTAAGTTCAATGATTTTTTTTTTACAAAACTATCAAGACTACCTCTATACTTATTCATTTGTTCTTGCATTTTTAATTTTAATTTCCTTTTAGACGAACCACTTGGGTACTGTCTCGACGACATAATTGTTATGTAAAACAGATTTAATTTTGTAACTACACACTAGTACACTTATACACTACACTATAATATCATATATACTTCGTTGAAAATTATATGTATATAATTAAATAGTTTATTAGGTACCTTTAATAGTTAAAAACCACAATTGCCGACGACTAACTAGCAACTAGTTAATAGCTGGTATTCTCCAGTATTAAGATATTAAATAATATAAACATGCGTCTATGCCACTATGTCAAGTGTCAACTTTATTAAATATACGAATTACGAGTTCACTAAACAATAGGGATTTCCGATTGGTGAACGAATAACGAAAATAATAAATATTGAATGGGCCCATCGCCCATGAGTATTATTATTAACAACTGATAAGTTATAAGAATAACTATAAATAGTAACCGTCTCCACTCGGCCACTCCACCAAACATCTGCTGTATAGCTCGTCAATAGTTTATTGTTTATTATTGGAGTTGCGAAAACGAATTTATATTTATAGGAAGACAATTATTTAGAACACATTCTTGGCCCCCATTTATTATTTAGCCATGTTAATCTTAATTGTTAATGATTTTACAATATTATAAAATGTGAAAAAATACTAAAAACCAATTTTCATTATGGGGGCCCCCGATAAATCGGGGGCCCCAAAGTTTCACTTTGCTAACTTACCCGCTAGTTGCGCCACTGGTGACAACCTTACGACCCGACTTGAATGTGTATCCAACATTTCCTCCCCGGGTTGAAAGACCAAGGCGTCTTTCAAAGAAGATTTCTGATCTGGCGCTGGACTTCGAAGATCACAGAACCAAGTCGTACACATTACACAAGTGCGGAATGATACAAAATATAAATAACAAACATAACATACGAATATAAATAATAATGTACCTAGGGAACCTAGCCCCCCAAAAAAAATAACAAATAACAAAATAAGCAATTAATAGGAAAAGGTGCGACTGAGGCACGGAGCAGGAAAGACAATTAAAAATAATACATAAGGAGAACACGGAGACAAGGATCAGGGCTCGACTGGCAGACGTACAAGTTTCACGACCGGGCGCTTGTAGATGCCGTCCTGTGTACGCACGGACACGACGCGCACCACATCATCGGAACCGGGGTGGACCTCTGTGACGCGGCCGAGGCGCCATTCGGTTGGTGGTCGAGACGGAGCTTCAACAATGACCATGTCGCCAATCGACATATTCGGAGACGTCTTGAACCATTTGTGACGACTTTGCAATGTGGACAGATATTCGCGTGACGTAAGATAACACTCGTAACATTTTACCGAGCGACGAAAATTTACCAATAAAATCCAACGAAGACGGATGAGCGTTGGCGACCAACATCGAGACAACATTAGGCCGAGTTTCAGGCAACTGGCTCGAAACGAGCGGTGTAAATTTCGACGGCGGCCATTGGTCTTCGGGAAGTCGTACGAACTCCGGACCGTCCCAATAAATGGACGAGGACAACATTAATTTTGGCATAAGTCCACGGGATGCTGGATCTGCAGGATTATCGTGCGTTGATACATAATTCCACACGCAATCCGGTAATAACTGAAGTATTTTAGCGACCCGATTGGTCACAAATATTTTAAATTGTTTAGGGTCCGCGGTCAACCACGAAAGAACAACTGACGAGTCCGACCACGCGCGCAGACGAGATATAGACACTTCGGTGGACAGCACAGATTGAACGTGATGAAGTGTCTGGGCCAGCAGCAGGGCCCCGCATAATTCCAAGCGAGGTATGGAAAGCGACTCGTTGGCGGCTGCACTCTTCAGAGGAGCGACCTTGGTTTTACAGGTGATGAATTTGACGGAAATGTCACCGGCGGCGTTGATGAAACGGAGATACACAACCGCCGCATATCCTTTGATCGATGCGTCCGCGAAACCCAATAGCTGAACGTCCTGATGACAGATGACGTCGATGTGACGTGGAAGATTTAGGTCGAATACAAGCGGAAGCTCAGTGCAAAATTGTTGCCACATAGATTGCAGTTCGGGGGACATCGGGTCGTCCCACCCGAGCTTATCGCACCATAATCGCTGCATAAAATATTTTACCCATAAAAGCATAGGGCCTAAGGCGCCGATAGGGTCGAACAAACGCGCAATGACGGACAACACCTGGCGCTTCGTCGATGAAATTTGGTTAAGACTCGTATGATAGGCAAATTTATCGGTAATCGGGTCCCAATGCAAACCTAGTACCTTTACGGCGTGTTCTTCGCGCGGGTCGAACGATATAGACAGCACGCGGTCATCGGGAGAAACAGACTCGAGGACGATGGCACTATTGCTAGTCCATTTGCTCAACATGCAGGCACCGCTGCGTAATAGACCGACAATATCTTCTTTTCGACGTAGTAGGAGCTCTTCGGTTTCGGCTCCAATGACGATGTCGTCGACGTAGGCGGCACGAGTAAGGACGTC